CTCATACTGCAGAACACTGGATTTCATAAACTAAACAAGAAAATGTATAACAATTAAAAGTGTGTACATTATAAATTGTGTGTTTTCTTCCTGGCCATTTAATAATTCTTTGACAATTAACCACAATCATTGAAGGCAAAACCTGAATTAGCTGTATCCCTCTGATTTTTTTCTGTGTTGTGGAATATTTTAAAACGTGGAACTCTAAGGTTCATATTTCCGGATATATACTCACCATATTGTGTGTGTGTTTTTTTTTTGTTTTTTTTTAGATAAAACTAGAGAATTAAAATTATCAATATGCATTTCTCTGAATTTTGTTTTATATTAAAAAGAGGAGTTCGTGATTTTGCTGCAAGGCATGCTTCTAAGTAGTGTTTTTAAATCACCTGAACTTACATGTAGAAGACATTGAATTCCCAAGTGTGTCAAAGCATGACTTTTATTTTCCAATTCTTTTTAAAGTTTAAAGTTTAAAAAATTAATATGCGTTGATTAACAGACAGAGCCTATATTTTCAATCAAAGAATCAATGAAAAGGTATCGCAGTTTTGTATTTGATGAAAAGTTGTTATAATTGATATCAGAATGCAATTGCAATATTCCATTTCTGATGACCTTCAAATGAGACTGTATGAACAGAAATTCTTAATTCATTTTCATTATATATAAAGTCAATACTTCAATGCACTAGAACTCATTCCAACATTCTTGAACCAGTGTCAAATTAAAGTACTTATATTTTCAAAACAATAACAAGACTATGATTTGTTCATTTGTTTTCGTGTGCATATTTTGATTCTAACGTGATGCAATAGAAGTCTTCCTTGATAAAATAGATCCGCAGCAGTACCAAGTAAACACCCATTGAACTTTAAGAATTCAATAAATAAAGATTAGCGAGTTAACCCAGAACCACATTTCTAACTACTATCCCCTGGCCCGTCGATAAAGCATACTTGTTTTGCAATAATTAACACGACTTTGTGAATTCTCAAAGTTTTCTCTTCGTCATAAATTCTACAGAACTCATATCTTTTTATTAAAATGAAAAACTAATGGAAGTCATACGTAATACCTTATCTCTTGAGCATTAAGAAACCACAAATCTCTCCTAACCCTAGCAATGGAATCGCCTCCCAGAACAATTCCAAAATTATCTTTAGCCAGCGTTGTTAATATACTCCACGCCTGTTATTGATACAGGTATCAGTGGCGATGTCCTGAAGGGAATACCACGAGGTGCCATTACAAGGAATGCTTTCAGTGATCGCAACATTCGCATCAAATTCTTCGAGTGTTCGGGAGGCTTTACTGTGATATGAAGCCGAGACCTTAATTCTGAGTGACATTCACGCGCTATAGAGTGCTTTTTCACACTCACTTGGTGGTCAAGAGGGTGAGAAAAATACAAGGAAAAACTGGATCTAAAACAATCTGACATTTCTGTATTCTCGCATGTATAGAGAAGAAATATTCACACAATTCTGACTCTCTCTCTTCTTTTCAATGAGTCTTGTTGGTTTTGGCTGTCGGAGAGTCCAATTTACAATTTTGATAAATGAAGGAATTCTTTTTAAAAATCTAGATCCCTGCTAAACGGTAAGATTGAATTTTTTTTATATCTTACCCAAATAGATTTTATTTAACTTTATTTTCAGAATAATGATTGAAGTTATCTTTTCAATTGTTTGATCATGCTTTGAATTGAATTGGTGACTACGGATATATCCTTACTGTATGTACAGTGATTTATTTCGTCTTCAATAGATAATACAATTTTTTTTCGTTTTTCGTAAATAAGTTGATTAAACACGTTCGTTAATTCTATGATTCCATCGTTTTTACTTGTGTAATTGTTTAAGTATTATGTGTGTCAAAGTATACATGTACGAAATATAATAAGGAAATAAACTACAGTACTCAGTATTCTAGTCTTTTTTCGGTCAATTCAACAAAATAAGTTCAAAGCCATACACAATTTTCTATGAAGTTAAATCCGGAATGCACTGTTACTGACGGAAGTTTAAGATAAATCACATCAATGTGTTATAAATAAATAGTAGTAAAAATATTTTACTTCTATGAATTGTATAAAAAGCATATATAAGGAAATTTATGCATCAAAAGTGGAATTGATTCAATAATAAAGTCACTGTGGGATGAAACATTGTTCGTTTTGGGGGGTTTTCAATGGCAAATGCTCATATAATTATCTTGGGTTGTTTATCAAGTGCCAGACATACTTAGGAGGTACAGATTGGTTTTCCTGGAGGAATTTTATATCTTGTCAAAGCTCACGATTCTTCTGAGATTCGGTTCATTATCACCCCATATTAACCCCAGTCTATGGAGATTTCACCATCAGTACACAAGAAAGGGAAAAACAAAAGATTGAACAAATCGGTAGCAAACTTTGACATTTCTGTTGATTATTTGCGTAAAGATCACGGTATGTTTTATTTTTTTTAATTGCATCAATTAACATCAGTCTTCATTTTCCTTTTCATACTATATATACTAATTATTTTCAAAAGTTTGATAAAATGATGAATTGAACAGTCTGTATTTGAGATTAAAAGAAAGATACAATGAAAAAGTTGTTGGGCATGAAGAACACCATAGAACTATCATGTGTTACTTTGACCTCAGATATAAATTTATAAGTTATAACTGCATGACATCACATTTCTTACTTGCAGGTCAAAGTAACAATTGTAATGCAGAACTTGAAAAAGACTTAATTTTAAATAATATTTTAAATGTATACATGTAACAGAGGTGCAAAGTAGAAATAGAAATTTAACAAAAATATGAAAATATAATACGATGGAATCTAAGACATTATATTAATTTATTTTTTTTTTTATTTAAATTAATAAGTGTTAATTAGAAAAAGACTCGTTGCTCTCAACTTCAAGAAACTCTCTCCACAACTCACTACATACATGTATCAACTGATTTTTCAAATACAAAATTTTGAATAGGCGTGTAAATACTTTTGAAGCTATACTACATTTGAACGCAGAAAGATAAATATACAGACATTTATCATTAAGTTTTATTAATTAATTCCGAGATTTCATCTTATTGATGATAAACCAGATACGTCACAATGTTTAGTCGTAAGGCATTTATCTTTTGGAGGAAAAAAAGACATCAAAAGTTCACGTAATCTGATAAAATACAGGCGTTTCTCTCAAGAAAATAAATACACGATTTTATAAAACATATTGCATTTTTGCATTTGAAATAAAAAGAGAGATCTGGTTATCGTGAACTTGAATTACCTGCTATGAAGAAGCATAATATTACGTGTATCTATATAGCTGTATCATGAAAAATAACCTCGAAGAAATAGGCACAAAAGTTTACCATTCATAGTTTATGTTATGGGAATGATTTGTCATAATTGATTTATTTATCATATTTTGCATGCAGTCAGTATTTTTAAGAGCATTGGTTTTATACTTCTTCCTTTACTGTTTTTGTATGTTTGTTTCCAAATGTATGGAATGTACAAAATTTCCATTCTGCTAATAAACAACTACTTGTACTTTGCATCCTATTCAAATATTTTGCCTACTTTTTATTATTTTTTTTAATAAGAAATCAAAATCTGTCCCTGGTTCAAATAAGTCATGGTACATCTACATGTAGCTTTTATAAGTTAGATATCTTGGTTTTCATTTCCTTTTTCCTGATATTCCTTGAATCTGTGAATCAGGAAATACTTAATATAAAACATTCGTCATAATTTGTTTCAGTTTTTTTTACCTATATCGAGAAGGAAGATGAATTTCTTAACATAACTATATCCTGGTAAACTGAATTAGTTACCTTTTCCAATAAGTGTAGATTACAGAATATAATTATCCTAAGATTTATTTTCATGAGATGGTTAAGCGAGACGTATTTTTTTTTGGTATGGCTTAATGTGATCTTCAGTAATTCGCAGTTAATCTAAGTACTGTCTATTTTCCATCGAATTAAGTCTGTTTAAAAAGCATTTTAAGAAATAGTATTATACCGGGGATTTCAAACAGAATAATAAATTTTGCAAAATTTTACACTGTTGTTAATTTTTTGGGGGTTTTTTGAAGATAATTTAAGGTTATTTAATATATACATTAAAACAATATATCTAAGTTTGATATTTTACATCATCATATCAACAAAAATGCTATAATCGACATAATTATGAATTTTGGAAGGAAAATACATTTCCTGATAAAAGGAATGTTCTTTTTTTTGCCAGGGAATTTGAAATACATATTTTAACCGAGATCTCTTTATACCGGATTTGCTTTTATAGGCAAGATTTACTGTAGTAAAAAAATTACAATAATATTAAAATTCTAGAGAAACAAATTTCAGATCTACATTGTGTATCACTGATGATGTCGAATCTTGATTATGCCATGAAAATAGCTAAATATTTGATACTATAACCGTGGCGAAACATCTTGTAGAACATAAGATATCCTGCAGTCTTTAATCAGGTAACCACTGTGATATATAATCTAACTAAAATAAAACATGTTCCTTTCTCTTAAATATAGGTATGGCCTAATTTTATCATCGATAGAGGGGGTATTTACAAACATTTTAGGACCGCAAGGGATTGTTTTGATACATAATGTTAGATACGGTTATTTAGTGAGATTTTCCAGGAAAAAAAATCTTCAGTGATGTTAATGAATGTTAAGTGGCACCAACAGAGAATATAAATTAAGGGATAGGGTTTTATTTTCATCTTTATGCCCTTGATAAAACCAGAAGCTATCAGAATGATTGGCTCATGTTTGTTTTAAAGCAAAGTTATCATTTGTATTGCACAAACAATTTCTGAGTAAAGATACCCTAAAAACCTGAAATTTTATGATGAATAGAAGATATTGAATTCTACGTTTTGATTTGTGAAACCTATATATTAAACCTGATATCTAAAAAAAATACTTAATATGAAAACAATTTTAAGTGGAAATCTTTTATTTCAGGAACAAGGATCTTTCACAGAGTTCAAGATGGACTACACTGACCTGTATGACTACCACGATATAAATCTCACCCACCTGCTCGCTCTCTATAACGCATCAAGTATAGATGATGTTTTGAATAAATATCATTATTACGGAAACGAGTCAGATTACCAAGAATACTACGCTCCCAACTGTGACAATTCAGAACACCCGCATCTAATGTTCGTCAAGAATCTACCAAGCTATCACCGATTCTTCAACGTCTTTCAGCCAACAGCCTGTGCGATCGGCATCATTGGGATCGTACTAACTGTTGTTGTCCTTGGAAGGAAGAACATGACCACGTCTACCAACTCCTACCTTACTGCGTTAGCCATCGCTGATCTCGGCTTTCTCGTCAGTCTGGTTTCAATGTTCATGGCGTCAGAGCATATGGACGTGGAATTTTACTATAAATACTATGTGTATTCGTCTACTATTGCTCCAATATTCGTTGAGACTTTTCTGATGGCTTCTGTCTGGTTAACGGTTGTCCTTGCTGTAGAACGCTACATTGCAATTTGTCATCCTCTGAAGGCCATTGCTATTTGCACAGTAAATAGGGCAAGACTGATCATAGCTGGCATTTTTATATTTTCATTTATTTTCAGAATTCCTCGATTTTTTGAGTTCAGAACCGAAAGCACTGTGCGTTGTAATATTACCGTAGTTCATTCCGTGCCAACAGCAATGGGACTTAGTCACTATAGAATCGTATACCCTATCATAGTGGATTGTATATTTGGCTGTATATTTCCATTGATTGCGCTCCTTATTTTCAACATCAAGTTGATTCTAGAAATCAAAAAATCAACAAACTATCCTCGATTTCATGACGTCAATATGCAAAACATGATTTCAAGGGAACAACTCAAAATAACAATGATGCTGATTGGAATAATAATGGTATTTTTTGTATGTCAGGCCCCTATTCTATTGTGCTACGCCATAAGACATATAACAGCTTATACATTGAAAACCCATGAGGACATCCGAGTTTTTAACTTGGTAACTTTTATCGCGCTGAGTTTATTAACATTTAAGTCCTCGGTCAATTTCATCGTTTACTGCTGGTTCAGTGAAAAGTTCTGGAACACTTTCAAACGTGTATTTTGTGGAAAGCTCTGTCTAGCTCGACAAAAGTGTCCGAGGAAGCAAAATACTCACACAGTCCATTCTGCCGACCAAAACGGAAGTACCAGTATACGTAAAGCCTCATATATGACCAAGGACACAACCTGCTGATTTCTATTATGCAGAAGGCATAAAAATGGGAACACGTTTGTAAAAAGGGCAACAGAAGTATAAGCATTACAAATACTTTGTATATGACCAAAACACAATTGTAAAAGGACGACTTTCACGCCCTCTGAAGGAGCTAAATACTTATTAATATTAAACAAGTTATCAAAAATTGTGTTAGTTACGATTTGCACAGTCTTAGCTCCATTGTTACATTGTTCATAACTTAGAACGCAAGAAAGTGATTGTAGGGAGCAAAGAATTCATACATGTACATGTACGTATACATGTATGTTTGATAGATTAATCGCATATGTACATGTATATTGTTTATGTTTGCTATTGAGTGATTGTATGTGGTTTAAATAATCTGCGTTTTAAGAAGGAATTTGGAAGGGTTGAACAATTCAATTTTGAGAACAGAAAATCACGCAATTGTAAGACAGTTGCAAGAAAACTTAATTGATTGAAATTCGCCTGTCATACTTTAATTGTACAAAAGACAATTTTGTCCGTTTATTTTCATACGAAAAGTGTGCAGTTACAATGCTTTTCATTTTATTTTCTGTATTGATGATGTAAAATACAGGGCATATTTTTTATCTTTTGCATAGCAAGTGTAATTCAGTTAAGTATACTGTGAAATCAACATTATTCTTGAGGTATCATTATCAATGTTACTGGCCAAGGATTCCGTGGGTAAAGTGTGATCCAGGAATTTACTTCTCCTCGAACATTGATACACAATGGGCATAGAAGAACATTCATGATGCCAACGATTTATGTCCCCACAATTCAGGAAAATTAATATGGTAGTGTTGAACCCTATTAACACTAAAGATTCCCAAGTAAATAGCTTTTGTTCTCATGAATAGGAGTCATTTTATTTCATTACCAAAACAATATCCACATGCTGGCCAAATTTAGTTAACATATCATTGGGAAGTGATAATCATTCGTGCCTAAACGGATTTAAAATTTAAAAATGCTATATGAAGAAATCAAGAAATTCTAATATTCAAGTTAAATATTATGGAAATGGTCTTAAGATGCTACCTTTGATTCTGTATACTCTCATATCATGACGTTCATCATGATAAATTCATGATGAGAAATTCATACGACTGTAACATCTATTAGAAAATGGTCTGTTTCCTGTACTCATACATCTCAAAATTTTTCCAGTGTATTTGTTTCGTTCAGCTCTATTTTCAAATATTAATGTTTAAGAATAAGATGTATTCTACAAACTTTATGAAAAAAAGTTGTATAAATTTAAAATCTTTATTTCTTTTTATTAATGAACAAACTCAATTATACAAAAATAATCAAATAATAAAATAAGCTTCAAAAGACACATTTTGTCTTAAGTATATCACATGTGGTCAATATAAATGTTATATACGTATTTGAATTATGAAATGCATTGACGGATGGTAAGTAAGAATTTAAAAAGTGTTTTGAATCTCTTTTGGAAACTACATGTGAATATCAAAAACAGAAAAAAAGGGAGAAAAAATTCTTGTAAGAACTACACAAAGATTTTGATTTTAAAATTGCTCAGCAAAGTTTAGAATTGATATTTGTATATTATATCGTTTATTTTTTCTTTGTTAAACGAGAAGTTGGAAAATGTGATTGACAAATGTTTTTCGTCAATAAACACTTAGTTTAAAATCATTGTTCGTTGTTTTCCTTTGATTTTGAATTCAAAGACTAAAATAGCTTATTGCAACAATAATGTGTTGGTTTGCCTGCATTGAAAAATAAGTCAAAAAACGCTATTTCTCCTACAGTTTTAGTTCGATTTTGATTCGATCTTTGCAAACACGTAGTCGAAGTGATGATAGAAACAAAATCCATGCAGCATTTGATGTTATTTCTATACGAATAGTGATGATAGACAGTGAAATTAACGGACACGATTCGGCGCGCGCATCTGAGAAAAAATGTGAATAAAAATTCCAGTTTGAAATTCATTTTCAATTAATCTCAGCTATTCCCATGCGCACAGTGATAGTTGTAGATCAAGAAAGGAAATGATTTCAATTTGAAATCGTTTGAATTTTATATTCATCAGATTTTAAAAAGAAATAATAGAATGGCGGAGATTTGATACCTGAAAGAGGGCTTCTGTTAATTCTTGGAAATACATGTAAGCAAGAATGTTTTGAATTTAGACACCCTATTCTCATCTTGTTTGACAAAAGAATTCAGTAATGAGAAAATAAACTTCTTTTTTTTCATTCTATAAATAAATAAACAATATATTCTGTTTTGTGAAGACATGAACCGAAATAAACTTACCACCCCAACTCCACGATTAAGAATGAAAAATATCGTCCCTTAAGATATATATCTTCTAAATGTATATATATCTATTAATAACGCTTGCCTGTTTTCAAATTATTTCATTAAAAATTCTGATCTACAACACTTTCAAACTGTTTGGGAATTGAATTTATTTTTGGGTCATACATAAACACTCTGGTTATGAATGTAAGTAAGATTGAATGAAAAACAAATTTACCATTCCGACGTTTTCTCAGACGTCCGTGTCGAATTTTCCCGCCGATTCCTTTGTCAATCACCATATATTTGACAATAAAAAAAATGAAAATGGCATTGGCAGCATATTTTCAATCTTGCCTATGATGTTTCTTTATAACAAATTTGATAGTAGAATATTCTGTACATCCTGACCTGATTAATGTATAGGGCTCAAAGAGCATTACATAACCGGTCAACAGGGGATGCTCTCTATGTCTTTGCATCTGATCTCACCTTGAATGGTTCGTCTTTCTCTCCTGTTCATACTTGTATTTTTTTTTAATTGATTAGATTGATCACTGTTTGTTATTTTTGGTCATATTTTGCCTTCAACCAATAGATTCTTTTTATTTAAATCTGCAAAAAAAATGATGTATACAATTTTTATTCTCTTCCAGAAAGGAAGAAGTCTATAATTGACATAAATATCTTGTGAGTCTTAACCGTACAGAAAAAAGGACCTTTAGCTGAAAAAATACCTGTCGTTTAATTTTTTCATATTTTGTAGAACTCTAATATAGTATGTCCTACATTCCTTACAGCATATATATCAATAGATTTCTGGACTTTTTTTTTGAGATATTGAGTGACAAATACTATACCCCACAGTGTCTGAGTGGAGTTTTAATTCTCAGTGTTTCTGGGCCCATTAATCGGTCCATAATGGATTTTTTCAGTATAAATAAAAGAAATATCAGCCAACATGTGTCTTTTAAAATATTTCAGAGTATAAAAAGGGTTAAAAATTCGAAAACGCAATATTCTTTTGTCACATCGCATCTGGAGACGGAAATTTATGTACTTTTTAAGACAATCAGCAAAAAAATTAATTTCCAAAAAATCCTATCATTCAATATTTGAAAATTTACGTTGAAATGGAAGATAGTCATGATATTGATTAGTTGTAAAAATATCGATTGGTGAAGCTGAGCTCATTATTGCACAGGACATAGTTAAACAAGACATGAGCTTGAGAAAAACGTGTCATGTTTACATTTCTGGAGTACGGGAAAACTCAACTATGACGTCACACTTTTGCGAAATAAGATAAGATATACCTATAAAATATCTCCGTCAACAACCATGTAAAAATATTTTTTGTGCTCTCTAATTCACAAAAGAACCCACCATGTACTGATCATGACCCGTTTTTTATGAAAATACTATCCGCGTTTTACCGTCTATAATCTTACTGTACTGAGACATCCACTGTGACGTCAACTTCGACGTCAACGACTAGTTGGACCAAGCTCCAAACAGCTCAGTATTACGTAACGCTACAACTCCATATTATTATTCGTAGGGAAAGTAGTCCCGGAGAATTGACGCTGTATGGAGTTTGTAGTTGGACGTGCAGTGTAGGGAAACAGAAGAGTGGATCAATTTATTCCGTAATTTAATAATATTTGCAAGAAAGTTTGTATGTTTTTAGATATTTTTATACAAGATGGTGAACTCAAAGAAACAGTCAAAAAAAATATACAAGTACTGTTGTTTCAATCTTGTTTTGTATATATTTTATCAGAGATTGTGACGTAATCAAACTGAGTCATGTGACCAAACATCCTTCGTCCCCTTAAGGATAAAATTCTGAAAGCGGATTTGTAATAGGGTGGCAAAAGAGGAATATGAGGACTTAAATACAAAGCGAAACTAATTCACCCCATTTGAAACTGATTCAAGGGTCAGATTATCAATAACCGATTATTTTTCCTTGGAGGACTATTTCCATCGGGTATTTTATTTTTTCGAATTTTGCGAACTAAAACGTCACTCCGTAACCATGCAAGCTACAGTGTACAAGTACGAATGTACACAAAAACTCGGTGTACACGATATTTCGACATTAAACACCTTTAAGGTTTTTTTTTTCAGTTTTGAGATCAAAATGAAAGCTTTGTATGTGGTAACCATACAAAGATTTTTTAATAGTAAACCTACACAGGCAATATTTCAAAACAAGTATTTACACTTAAGGTAGGATTCTTCTCATATTTCTAATATTTAAAAATTAATGAAATTTTCACAGAATCAAGAACACAATATCAGTAAGTGATAGTATCAGTGAAATTAAATTGACTGTTTTTATATCAGAGGCAAGGTCAGGTCAAGGTCATTATCTTTTTCCTTGACATTAAGAATTAAAAATAACTGTTGCCAATCATGTGATACCTACTTCTAATTCAAAAGTTTAATGATTGTTCTTTTGTATAAAAACATATTGCTATATTGGGTCTATAACATGATATTACAAAATTTACATAAATAATTTAACTTAACTGGATATTGGCTAATCCGAATTTTCTCTGTTTTTCTTAATTTTTTTAGGATATATTAGTTATTTTCATATGCTTCCTATATCTAACTTTTTCTTATTTTCACATATAATAAAGTAGTCTTATAAATGTACAAAATGATACAAAAACAAAAAGGTTTGATCGTTTACTAAGAGAGAAAAAATACTTTTTATAGATTTTTGGTTCAAATCTGCACTTTGATAGGAAACGTTTAAAAGCTAATAAAGTTCTAGTTTGTTTGAAAAATCATATTTATTTGATATATTTTGAAAGTTTAGTCCCTCATTATTAATCTAACTTACATTTGAAAATTTCTCCAAGTCTTCGATTGTGTATAAATTATAACTAAATTCATTGTTCTATTATAATTTTGAGAGGCAGAAAAGAAGATATTTTCATACGCCACCATTCCGCCAAAAATATAGTCCCTGCTAGTTTTCAAACGCAGTTTACCATTTCTATTTCAAGTTGTACAATTGTGATGAAGAAAGAAAAATATGGTCTTTTAAATTTCTTACACCTCAATATATGACATATAAGCAAATATACTTTTAATATTTCATCTAGTAGTAGTCAGAAACCAGAGAAGAATCCTACCTTAATTCGTATCAGGTGCTAAAATAAGTATACTTTTATCATGTTTATCTTGAAAATGAAGCTAAAATAAATATAATAATTGATAAATATAGGAAAAAATAAGTAATTAACATGTCCTTGCTTCTGGCGTAACTCAATTGAACTTATTTTCCGTGTCACGGTGACTCAGCATACATTTTTTTCTTTAAATATCGTTGGAAAAGTTTTCAAATTATGCAATAACATTACAAAGTTTACATGTGTACTTTAATTTCAAGACTATATAATTTTCTCTCCCTCTATCTTTTTTTTTCATTTAAATAATTTAAAATACATTCATAAAGCAAAATTTTTTAAATACTGTCGTATTTAGAGTAAAAAGAGATATACAAGGACTTCAAAGATTGGCTTCGCCTTAATAATTATATGCAATATATCATGTTTGAGAGAATAATATTTCAAGTTTTTAATATTAAAATTTTTTTTTTTTTCAGTTCAGGCGTTATAAATAAGGCCTGTATAGCATGGCAATAAGGCTACACATTGTATAATATCTTCTCAATTAGAATTTTCAAAAATTGGGCAAGTTTTTAATATTAAAATTTTTTACGACGATTTAACATGTTTTACATGCAGAGGGATCTATGATTGCATTGAAATTCAAGAGTTCCTAGACACGTTCGCCGACAAAATACTATATAGCATCAAAGAAAACATATGGAAAAGGTTTGATGATCCATTTACAGAGAGTAAACAGTAAATATTTTTTTAATAAATAGGTCAGTGTGGATGAGCGTACAGGCGGACACAGGGGCACAATAACATCATTACCAGCAGTTATAATTAATACAGCGTGTGAACGCGCAATGTGTGTCATATGGTGCAAAAATACTCGAAGAAGGATAACTCATTAGAAATAATTTGTTTTTCTCGTACGGATGCGGCCTATCTCGAAAATACATTTTTCTTTGCTCATTGGTGTCTCAAACCTATCGCTTTCTGGAAAATAATTTTCCATTTACCGGTTTATTTCAGTTTATTCACACAAAACAATGTAAATTTAATTTAATGGAACATGACTACGTGAGGTACAAAGAATTCAACCAATTACAAAATTTTTAAAATGATATAACAAGAATATACTAAATATTATATAATTATTTACTCACGCGTGCATATATATGTACATGTACTTCTATGTATTTACTGCAATGGACACACAGAAGCTCGAACAGAAGGATCTGAAAGTTTTTAATTCGATTTTTCACAACCTGTAATTAACAATAAATTAATATTGCTTATTAACTAATGAAGATATAAATTCTTTTTTTTTTAAATAAAAATCACTTGAAGTGCAAAGTTTGTATATTTATCAATTCCTTAATATACAAAGCTAAAAATTTAGACAGTTCCTAAGTTTGAATGAGAATCAAATAGGATATTTTTATACAAGAAGGACACTTACTCAGTGACTCCATATCTGGTAAACCGTCAGATGTTTATTTGTTAAATGATAAAACAAAGTGTAGAAATGGAATGTCAAACAAATATCTTGTCCTACCACCGTGTCTTCGTTTTTCATCTGCAAGAACTTGAAATTGAACCGTTAGCAATTCTTAACACATACTGAAAATGTACAGTGGAATTTTTAATAACTTGATAAGGAATCGTTATGGTTAAATGTCGTGTGTTGCCACCCCACAAGGCTGAAAAGTGTTAAGAGCTCTCCAAGTCATTAGATAACTAAGCCATGTTTACTATGCAGAGAATATGCCTTCCTCTTTTGTTGTTCTTCTTTGTCTCAAAGGTAAGAAATAATTAAAATTTAAGGACATAATATGATACAAACAAACTTTTTAAAAAAAAATGAAAATAACAACTTGAGTCATGTTTTAATGATTAAAATGAATGGGTTTCACCGCGTAGATTTAATTTTTTCAATCAAATTTTGACAATAATGGGATTTGAAGTGAAAAATATTTGTATAGATTAATAAGGAGGTGTCAGAAATGCAGAACTTTGAACATCTCAGAAGGTTTACAATTTCTTTATACATGTATTCTAGAAATTTATTATTTCTATCATTTTCAGTGAAATTAGGCCATAAAATATATATTACTTATAAAATATTGGTATGAAAAATGTTTACAATTTTTAAAAGTTGCATATATTTTTGACGATAAATTAAAAAGTAAAACTCATCAGAATATTCAGATTCAAAAAAATATTATATATAGTCTTGAAAGGGATATAACCCCCTTCTAAAAGCATCCTCACCTCTTTGAAAGTTATTCATTCTTTCTTTCCAAGATAAAATGCAATGTAAATGTCTTCATCCATGTTGATCAAATAGTCGTCCATAACACGACAGCAGCCAAAGGCCAGTGTAAGGGAGACAACTGCGGGTTTCATATCAAACTCTGTATTAGGTATGTAAAAAAAGTCAAATATTGTGCTAGCAAAACATGTTGTACTTGGGGAAAAACGAATAAATTATACTATTAAATAATTTTAATTAACGAAGGAATTTTTAATTAATATTTATAACTGAAAAAACCTTTTGTAGCACACTGTAAATGGCACCATATGGGTTTTCTTTCTTGAAGGGGCAATAGTGCCATATGCGATGAGTCCACGGTGGCCTGGGTCAACATGTCCGGCCTCCAGTCCAGAGTGATCGGGGAGGATATCGGCGACAAAATGAACCCCCTACAAATGGACGTCAATCACACGGTATGTCTGCTTTTTTTAAAAAAAAAAAAAAGGGTTTTTTTTTAAATCTGCTCCAATGTAATTTCTCTTCATTGTATTTTGCCTTTTGTCTATTACTTTATCAGTCCGTATTTAAATACTGTACATGCATTTTGTATATTTATTCAAGTGGCTCTAATTTCTGAATTTTTTTGTTGTTTTAAGTCCCTTTCGAGAATTTTTCACTCATATGAAAACGCCACCACTTGCCGGTGGAGAGCTGCAAATTTTGTCCTTTACTCGGCACTAAGGGCCATTGAGAAGTGAGGGATCTTTTCCAGCACCCACTGCGACACGGGACCTCGATTTATAGGGTCTTATCGAAGCACCGGCTTCCACGTCCCACAGTGGGATCTAACCCGCAACGAAAGGATTGACTACTTACTTCGCGACTAAAGAGCAGACCCTCTCACCACTGTGCCACGCGTATTTCCTTTTCTCCGTTGCTTTATCAATCCGTAATTAAATACTGCACATGTGTTTTATATATATATTGAAGTGGCCCTAATTAGGTAACTGTTTTTTTTTTTCTTTAACGTCCCTTTTGAGAATTTTACACTCATATGGAGACACGACCACTTGCAGGTGGAAAACTGCAAATCTTGACCCATGCTCTACACATATGACCATTGATTAGTGAGGGATTTTTTCGTACCAGCACCTATTGCGACACGGGACCACGGTTTATACGGTTTCATTCGAAGGACCAGTCCCAACATCCGACAGTGCAATTCGATCCCGCGACGTAAGGATCAATTCCTTACACAACGACTCTTCAGCAGACGATCCTTCCACTGCGCAACGCGGACGATCTTAATTAATTTTGTTAATCAATGTTACCCTGTTCTATTCTATAGATGGGACCCTCCTCTGTTCTGAAGGTGTCTGTTTATAACAATGATTCCTCTGCCCTCCTTATGGAACAAACGATGAATGGAGCCAACCAATGGACGAACGGAAGTCAGTATATACTCGGTTACGATCAGTACATGACCTTTGATTTACACAACAGTATCTTAAGGTACAGTAATTTTTATTAAAAGATCATTACAAGTAATTGCATTGAAGGGTATCTTTTAATGGTGATTATAATGAAGCAATATCTCATGAGATTGTTACCTTTAAAAATCCATAATTTGGATACCTACAGTGTAACCCTAACCTCCTGGTTCTTTTGCTCTGATGGCTACCACGGGCCAAAGTGTTCGGTTTACTGCCGTGGAGATCCGCATAGGTGTGTCGTTGATGGCGTGCAGTACTGCAAGAATGGTAATAAAAAGTTTATCAGTTTTTTTAAAAGCAATCGTGAATACCACGAGATCGTATCTTTCGTTCCTTTTGAATGGCTTTTGTAAATAAAAATGAGCTCTGTCCTCATCTGTCATAACAAGTCGTTCATTGTGCGCCAAATACTTTTGTTATACCTTTAAAAATTTGTTCCCATACAAATCTATACAGAAAAAAGTCTAACATTACTAATGTTTTGCTGAGCGGGCATAAAAAAATCGATGTTGGACCGCTGAGTGAGATGTTGCGGAGAGATGTTGGACCGCTTACGTCACAGAATAAAAATTCTTTGGTTTTAAAAAATGACAGATCTAATGTTACATTACGGAATATAGTACAAAATATATGTATGTCAAAAAATATAAAATAAAATGAAAGGTATCATAACCATGCGTTTTGTCGACCCTTCATTGTCGGCCTAACGGCCTCAGGCAGACATAATGCAGAATAAACTTAATAATAATCATCAATCAACTCCATCTATCTCATTGAAAGGGACGAAAAGAGAAGAATGAGAATCATGTCGTCAGTGAAGATTGTTAGAATTGAGTAGTCATTTTAATTTTATTTCCTTAATAAAAAAAATATTTTACAGGATGGACAGGTCCAACCTGCGAAGACAACGTGAACGAGTGCACACACGCATGCGCCAACACTTACGGCAAATGCCAGGACACATTGGGTGGTTTCATTTGCCATTGTTCTGAATACGCGTATGGGAAACAGTGCATAATGGACAATGATGAATGTGCCAAACATCCTTGCAACACAGGTACATGTACAAACACTCTTGGACGCCATAACTGTTCTTGTCCCTCTGATGTTACGGGTGAAAATTGTGAAGAATTGATTGCCACGTCTTGTTCCTCGATTACTTGTTCTCAACATGGCGCCTGTTCTGTAAAGAAAGGAAAAGCACATTGCTCATGTTATTTTGGATATGTGGGCCCCGATTGTTCTATTGAATGCAAATTAGACTGTTTGAATGGCGGAAGGTGTGTTAGAGCTCCACACGGAAATCCAAAATGTGTTTGTCCTCCCGGATTTCTCGGAGACAACTGTCAAGTCCAAGATTTATGTTACTCTCATATCTGCCATAATATGGGTACTTGCGTGCAAAAAGGGTCCAATGTCAGTTGCTTATGTGACAAGGGCTCGTTCGGTGATCAGTGTGAATTTTACGACAAATGTTATGATTTGCCGTGTAAAAATCATGGTGTCTGTAAAAAGCTACATAAAGGGGAATATCAGTGCATCTGTCCGCATAGTTGGACAGGAAGAAACTGCGAGGTCTATAACTGTCAACATGCTTCTCCATGCCAAAACCACGGAAAATGTTTATCAATTCAATCAAATCCGGGATATCGATGTGTCTGCCAATCTTCTTGGTACGGAAATGTCTGTGAGCTATATGACGCATGCGTGTCCGACCCCTGTCAAAATGGCGGAACATGTCTCAACAATTTGAATGACTACACCTGCACTTGCGCAAAAGGTTTCATGGGACGCAATTGCGAGCATCGGGATCTGTGCTTCTGGAATGGTAAACCCTGTATAAACGGTGGGAATTGCATTGTCAATTCTAACATTTGTAATTGTTCAAAGTCTTGGGTAGGTGTTCAGTGCGAGAGAAACGTTAATGAATGTCTGTACAATCCTTGTGGCGTGTACGGTACGTGTGTGGATACTGTAGGCGGATACAAATGCTCCTGTAGCACATACTGGACAGGGAAAAACTGCGATGTTCACATGAAATCTTGTGCTTTCAATCCTTGCGGAGATAACGGCTTTTGTAACGATTTTGACAATACCTATCTGTGTACGTGTAATGCTCAATGGACTGGCAGGAACTGTGAAATTGATGTGAATGAATGCACAGTGTCATCACCATGCCAAAACGGCGGAACGTGTTCAAATATTGCGGGTGATTATACATGTAACTGTCCGCGAGGATGGATGGGTAAGAATTGTGAAACTGATATTAATGAATGTCAAGTGCAGAATTCATGTCCACCGAATACTCTGTGTGAAAACATTCCAGGGTCTCACGAATGCTTGGACTGTTCAACTTACACGTGTTATCATAATTCACAGTGCAAGGATGATATAAATGGTCCGGTTTGCAACTGTTCATCTACGGGATGGACCGGAAGGCAATGCGACACAAAGGATTTCTGTCACGAAACATGTACAGACTTAGAAATAAACAATGGGCATTGTCCGAGTCGATGTGGACGATCTTCTGAATGTTTGAACAAACAAGACGGCTATTCCTGTCATTATGATCCTTGTAAAAGTAATCCTTGTCAAAATGGAGGGAGCTGTTTCAAGGGCCACAACGACTTTAACTGCAAATGTGGCATTCACTGGGCCGGAAAAGCCTGCGATCAAGTAAATTACTGCGCGAATAACCCTTGTCAACATGGTGGCTCTTGTATAAATCAGCCAGATAGATTCAAGTGCAGTTGTACTCTTGAGTGGATAGGAACCACTTGCACGGAGAAAAACTATTGCTACCCAAATCCATGCACACATAATGGCGCTTGCACATCACTTGCAAACTCTTCAACGTGTCTTTGTTCAACGGAATGGACTGGGTCTTTCTGTGAAAAACGCAATTATTGCAGTAAAAATCCTTGCCAAAACGATGGAATATGTATAAATGGACCGACACATTTCACGTGCAACTGTACTGAAAATTGGATCAATGCAAATTGCGAACAGTATGACTACTGCTCCTCAAATCCTTGCAAAAACCGTGCAACTTGCATAAACAAGCCTGGAAACTTTGAATGTCATTGTCATGAGGGCTTTTCTGGAGTCACGTGTGGATCAGCAATCGACCATTGTCTGTCTTCCCCCTGCCAAAACAATGCCACTTGTACAAATAACCCCTACGGTTACTTCTGTCGCTGTGGTAGTGGGTATATGGGTAAGGACTGTACCCTCGACGTAGATGAATGCAAACTTAATATGTGTCCACCCATGTCCACATGCTACAATTATAATGGCGGATTTGACTGTCGATGGACTCGAAGATCAATCAGGGAAGCTCATCATGACGGTATGGTAAAAGTACAATCATTCACATACAGTATGTTTTAGCATATATATCCTCTCTCATTTATCATTAATCTCTAACAAACAATGATTTATCTAAAAAAAAATTCTTTACACAATACAAAACTGTGGTTAAGGCATAAACACGAACCCCTGGAAATCCAGAGGTGGGATAAGGTGCCTAGGAGGTGTAAGCATCCCTCTGTTGACCAGTCACACTCGTCGAGATCACTATGCATTTGCCATAATAATTACCAGGTCTAAAAACTAAATAAGAAACCTGTACATATAATAACATTGAAAACTTACCTCTGGACAGGATATTAGTCCATAAGTCAAGAGTTTAGCCAAGTAATTTTTTTTTCAAAATTGTCGAAAATTATACTCTTATGAAATACACAATTGTGTTTAATATTCTTGTGTACTTAAGAATATAATGTACCTAAAACAAATATTGAATTTGATGGGATTTCTCATCATACTTAAAATTCTTCTTTAACATGTATATTATAGGCATAAATATCATATAAAAATTCCGGGAGCATAGATTTTTTTGACCAATTTGATAATGAGCATTTATTATATAGCTTATAAATAGTCTCTAATAAAATACTACCAAAAATCAAGAGAATTTTAGCGTTCAATATCTTGACATTTTATTGAACGCTAAGTTTGTATTACGTATACGAGTACGAGTGTATGCCCTTAACATTCCGAATACGAGCGTTCGATATCGAACGCTCTGTTGTAAAAAAAAAATCGTCTGGTCAAATTCTCAGAGTTAAATAAAAGAAAAGGAGTGGCATCAATGTAATATGTGTTTATTATTTTTTTCTTACAAAAAATGAAATTATTTATTATAAATTTAGTACGTTTTAGACCCATTGAAACCAAAATAAGGAAACCGTAATGCTCGGTAGGGTGACATCGGAATGATGCGATATTGAACATTTACAGGACAGGCGTTAATCTGAATACCTATACTAAAAAAAACATTAATTTGAGTTTTTTAGTTGGAATAATTATTATAAATTATAGGAAATATTCTAGCTATATGATAAAAAGAGTTAATGAACTTATATTGGTGAATATTGGCACTCGTTGGCTGTACAAATGCACTCGAAAGCTCTAGCATTTGTACTGTCAACAGGTGCCAATATTCACCAATATAAGTTCAATAACCCTATAATATTGGATATTTACTCCCTCATCGATAGTTTAAACACCTCATTTGTTCACACATACCAAAAAATAATATAAGACCTTACTGGTTTTGCACTGAATAATTTGCTTTTGGTCTAATACCGTGCGGCGCAAAGTAGCGCTTGTCACCGCGAACTCAACTATTATCAACCAAATGACTTTTTTGCTTATTCCACCATCATACCTCACATGACCTCGGACGTCAAAGGTGTTCTATCATCATGTGATCTTATTTGAATTTCTTTCAAAATTTGATCTCTGAGGTTGTTTTGCTGCACTTCAAAAACTTTGGACGTGCTTTTAAGTGCCACCAACATAGGTTGTGAGAAGAACCTTTTTATTACAATTATGAATTAGACGAGTTAACAAAGCTTTTAGAAGAACTTTGTGTAGAGCGAAATATGATATAAGACCCGCAATGCATCGACCTTGATAATCACACGAGATTTGAAAAACAAATTTAATTTAAAAAAAATAAACTCGCTGTTAAAAGTTCGCGAGAATAACAAAGTTAAATTAGAATAAACTTTCTTTGATTTAAGGACTTTTTAAGGGTTATATTATAGGAAAAAAATAGTAAAGAAAACGTTCTTCATTAAAATATGTTCTGTTCAGGCTTCTGGTTGGTTATGTAACATACGTCGACGTAATGTGACGTGAGAGTCTAGACGCAGCAAATGTCACGTTCGGCAAAAAAGAAAAAAAGAAAAAATAAGACTGGTCTAAATACTGTTTCTGAACAGTGTACACTGAAAATGTATCTGCCCTCGTCCTAATGATCGAACCTTCAACATATTTTTTAATAAAAAAAATGGAGAATTACTGGTTGCAATCTTTTTACTTCATTTTTTACTTAAGGAAATATTTGTTCCATTTATTGCACAGTTAATTTATTCTATTTAATGAATAATTTAGAAGACAGAGTGATTGAAACTTTCAATGAAATGTTTTTCTATGTGTATAGGGACCAAATACGTTTTAACAACGGAGCGCAAAGATTCCATGATAACAGGTTCAGTTGTTCTTCAATCGCTTCAAAGTGCAATATCAAAGGCTGCATGTTCTAACAACGAAAAAGGACTTTTTGTTCCATACAAAATGGAGTTCTATGGGTAATGGAATTTTGTTTAAATTTTTGAAAGATTTCATTATGAAAAATATAAAAAAGTAAAAAGACATTTCAAAAGTACTTTTACATCTGGTCTATTTGTTTTGTGTTTTTGATTTAATATGTATCTCTATTTTAGCGGAATTCAAAACCTTACCTTCACCATCCATTGTGCAAAGGGAAAATATCAAAACCTTGTTGTATCCAACGTCGGTTCTTATTGCGATTCCGAACTGTGTAGATCTATTATAAAGAATTCGGAACTTTCAACATTGTAAGAACTTGAGTTATCCCGCTTGTTACCATCAACTTATTAAACCTTCACTTTGCTCTCTTATCATTTTAGCAAGATTTGATATTTGAGTATATGTAAAACTTCATTAGAACCCATTTTTATATGAGGCATATTTTTCGAGAAAACCATTTTCAAAAAGAAATTATATGATGCTACTTTTATACCTTGAGAAAACTCATTTTAAAAGTGAGCTCATTACTTGTTATTAAATAAGTTTTTGATTCAATGATAGTACACAAAAAATTCTTTCTTTCTTTATATTGTGTTTCATTATTGTAACCCTTCTATATAAGAGAGAAAGAAAAACAACTTTCACATTAGTCATAATCTCAAGGCCACTGACTTACAATGAACTTGGAGGAAAAGATCATTTAATCTTTTACAAAATCAGACTAAAACTGCGCCGACACGTTGAATGTAATTATTTTGCAACCTCTATCAAAGGTATTCTATCGGAAACTATCTTATAAAATTACTTGAATCCTTTGTCATTAAATATTTCATTCGGATGCGTTTTATTCATAGTACACTTTTGTCTCATCGACCTATTTCCTGCTTTCATCCATGGTACACAAAATCCCACATTAATGTCTCACGTTGATGAATCCATTGGGTACCGTCTGAATTCCTGAATAATCGTTATACTGGAGGGTCGGTCATACACCAATTAATGTTCCAATACTCTACCTGGGAGTAGAAAAACGTGTTTTCACGTGTTCGTTTGAATTCTTATTATGTTTCGAACGCACGCAAGATTTCCATTACCTTCGCAATCAAGTCCACCCTGATATTTAGCTATTGTGTATAATTGGATGAAAATTGGTCACTTGGGAGAAAATAGTCCAAAGGGTAATCCTCATAAATCTCGTGCGGGGTCTGGCACGAGAGGATAATTCGAGAATTACCTATAATATACAGCAATTAGTTCTGGACTATTCATATGTTTCGAAACATTTATTCTATAGTCTATATGTCTACGAAATGCCTGTTTCATTTCTTTTAATTGAAAGTTTAATGTTTAAAAAACAATCAGTTCATTACATTTTCTAATGTTATGTGATGCTTAAAAACTTCTGCAAATTTCATTTATAAACACTTCTTTTACAAAAAGACAAATGTAAAACTAAGTATTTTAAAACACGAATAATATACTTATTTTATGATCCCTCAAACTTTCAGTAAGACATGATACATGAATGTGTAATGTTTATTAAACGAGAATTATATCAAAAGTTTATCATGTTTATGGCAAGTGAAATATTCTTCAAAGATCTGAATAATGATAGGAACAAATTTCTTATATGATTTCTATTATCCAATATTTTTTGCTTATGTGACCCTAAGCTCATATTTATAAGGAGAAAACTATGTAACATGCAATTTCACATTCGCGCAAGAGTCTGCCGACAATTGATATATAAAATTGGTTCAATTATCGGTCTATAAGTCTCTTTTCTGTACATTATGACGTTCAAAGATGAACAGAATGCCCAAAGTACGAGTTATACTAGCATACATAATCCGATAGACAATATCTTACTGAAAGAAGTTGGCGAAACACGTCGACTCCTGGCGGAAATTTTCCTCATGTCTATGGATTCTTTTTGTCCCTCTGGCGTACTTCAGTTCTCTCCGTTTATGGCCCGGAATTCTGTTCTATGTATAGCTGCGGCCTAATTGACAGGTTAATTCATGGTGGTGGGGAATAACACGCAGGCAGAAATCGACTTTTTTGGGTGGAGGTTGAGGTTATATACGCCAAGTTCTATTTTGTATGAAGATGACAAAAACCTATCATAATTTGAAACCATCGTTTTGTGAGAAATTTTTTTCTCAATATCAAGAATCTTATCTACTGTTATAGACTGTATACAAAGGTTAAGAACAGGGTACCAAAATGTTTTCGAAGAAATTATTATTAGAATGTAATACATGTACAATTACACAATAAGATTTTTAGTTAGTGAGTATCAATGATAAAGTCAAATTCAAAGCTAATGAATAGGGTCAAAGATTGTTTACCTATTGGGTTGAATAAGTGAGGAAGCGCATATATGAGTGTTAACAGTTTCAAAGATTTTTTGCGATTGTACATAGAGCTAAATAAGAGAATTTATGCAGGGACGTAGTATGGGGGGGGGGGGGGGGGGGGGGGGGGGGGCCCCCCCCCCCCCCCCCACTTTTTTCTCCAACATTACTTTTACTATAGTAAATGTTCATTGAAAGAATGGTTGGCCCCCCCCCACTTTTAACCATAGTATATTGATATGAAGGAATTGTAGGGAAAAAAAATTGGAAGTGAAAGTAACTTGGCTCTGAAAAAGTTGGCCACTACCCCCCTCCCCCCCTCTCTCCCCCCCACACGAAATAGGATTTTTGAGTTTGGGCAACTTTTAAAATTTTTTTAAAATTTTTGTTTTTTTTTTTTTTTTTTTTTTTTTTTTTTTTTTTTTTTTTTTTGCTTGTCAACTTCTTCAGGTAATTAAAAAAAAATTTCTCTGGTTGGCCCCCCCACTTTCAAAAACGATGCTACGTGCCTGTTATGTGTCCATAAAGTTTCTGAGGAAGGTTGGGCTATAAGGTATCCTGTACTTAAGGTACAAGTGCAGGCAAATAAACGATATAAATACCAGTCAACATTTTTTGTTTTCTGAAATAAAATGCCCTTTTAAGTGATGGAAATTTGCATCATTTATTTTTGGAATTGGTAAAAAAATATCATGCAAGACCTCCCATAGGAAGTTCTTGAACCCAAACACTTTAAACCATTATCATTTAAAAATTAAGTGGGACGATATTTCACCAAGAACTTGTGAAATGGTGACTGAAAAACAGGATTTTTGATATTGTTTCATTAACTTAATTATAGGTTAAGTTTGCCTCGTTTCAAAAAATTGATTTATATCTAGAGCATACTCTTGTGTATCGAATCAACTGGTAAAAGCAAACCCCACAAACAGGTGTGATATCTGAAAAGGAAGTTGACGACTGCAGTCGAAGTTATCAAGTTTATTTTCACGGGGGCCTGGCCCCCCACTTTTTTTTCAATCTTACTTATAGTATAGGAAATGTTAATTGAAAGCCTGGTTGCCCCCCCCCCCCCACTTTTAGTGATGTACCCGAAAATGAAGTATTAGAATTGGTACTAGAAGTAGTTGACACTGAGAAAAAGTTCACCTACACTCCCCCCCCCCCCCCCCCCCCCCCCACGAAATAGGATTTTCGAATTTGGGCAACTTTAACCTTTTTTTTTTTTTTTTTTTTTTTGCTTGTCAACTTTTTCTGGCTGCCCCCCCCCCCCCCACTTTCAAAAACGATGCTACGCCACTGCTTCAAGTTTGGTTCTAAAGTACTATGAACCTCTTCTCGATCGTAATGTAACCAGTAGAGCTTCAGTAACGAATAAATGCAATAGTAAGGTGTCTTTCGCCTTAATGGGTAAAGGTTTCATATTAAAACAAATAAAACTCAAAAACTTCATATCGATCAATGAAATGCTAGATATTTTTATGTTTAATTTTATGAATACATTTGCATGTACATGTTATATATTATCTACTCATGAAAGCACGTAACTACGTGTTACATAGAACCGGTTGTTCGAATTAAAACAAATAATTTCAGTAAAATGCTTAGAATTATAATTGCTTCTTCCTGAAAAAGATACATGTAAAACAATGTCTTCATTACACCACAGGAGTTTGCACACCTATCAACTTTACCGAAATTTTCAGTAAATGAAAAAAATACTTAATACCTAATATAATATTGGGTATGATGTCAATTAAAAAAATTCTTAAAGGTAAATTACGTATTTTTTTTATTTACTGAAAATTTCGGAAAAATTGATAGGTACCGGAACTCCTGTGATTACACCTTAACATAGATGGGAAAGTCAAAAGGTGATTTTTTTTTATTGACATCACACCCGTTGCAACGTCATTAGCGAAAAGTAATATTTATGCTTACAGATTGAAGACTTCAAAAGGAGTAGCTGTTTAAATTTCTCATTCATCAAATGTAACTAACCCGAAACATGATACGATAATTTTAGAATATCTCACTATTGCAGATTAGCCTTGAAGTTTAATAAATGTTAGTAGATGCATGAATATCTTATTTTTGAAAAACGTACATGTACCTCAAAACTGCAAAAAAGCATCTCTATGTGCTAACATATATGACTTTTGTACGTTAATCAAATTGTTTGCACGCATAAAAAATTAATTCAACGTTTAGATATATTATGATAGAAATTCCTTTGTATATATAATATCATTAGGTGTTTAAATTGATTTTTATATTTAATTTTAGGTTTGGAACACTTAAAATGGAGATATTTTAATATAAAATACTTCATACAAGTTAATTGAATCTTATTAGAAGTAAAGAAAGAGAAATTTTGAAAAGAAATACCTCTGAATTTTTCTCCCTTGCATGCCAACATTGATCGACTGTTTTCTGGTTGGCAAATGGTTTTCTTGAGATGAAAATTTTCTACGTTATTTAGCAAAATAATCTTCACAATTTTAAAACAAATGAGAACAGGAAATCGTTAATGTAAAATAGATCAGTATAATCGTTGACAATTAAACCTTTCTCAAAATTGAAATGCTCCAAGCAGATAAAAGTAAAATAAGCTAATTTCCCTGGATAATATATACATGTAGTTTTGTTCATCACATAAGGAATTATTTTTAATTGAATATACCTCAAAATTACTACATAATCTATTTCATGTATCAATACTCACCTTTGTTGCAAACAAAAAACTACTGTAACACCACAAGATCCAATCTAATATAGAAGAGTACATGTATTTATAACATTTACATGTAATACAGGTTTAAAATTTCGAGAAATTCTAAATAAGAAAGTAAAAATAGTTATAAAGGATGGTATCAAGAAGTTAAAAAAAATACCGGTTTAATTATTTTCATTCAAAGGTTAAAATAAACGACAAAACTCGTCCAACGCAGATGTTATTAATTAGAAATCTTGTCTATGTCAACTTTTTATCCTTTTCATTCCTCA